AAATGAAAACAGTGATGCATACAATGATATCGAAATTTACAGATGTCTTGCAAGTGTAGGGATTTATCCTGTGGATAGTCGAGATGAAAAGCACCGACAGCGATTTCTGCCCTGGAAGCCGGAACACCATTATCATGCCGATTTGACTAAGTCATTCCTCATGGATCCCATTGAACACTGGGTATGAATGAAACTATTTTCTTATGAGAAATTCAAGTCCTTGTCGGCGAACACTTCATCCCAGATACGCCGTGCATTCGAAATCTCTTCAAAGTTTTTGAGGCAGTTTGGTTGGTGCATATGTAGCCTATGGGATCACTTACGAATTGCATAGTAGTCGCTTGTTGGGACTCACCCGAGCTTAGCCGTTTTCAAAAGGGTAGTAAGCTCGATTGTCTCCATAAGATCTTGATTTTACAGAGTGCGACGGGGCATTTGGGAGCATTTCTATGGCTAGGCGCTATTTCTTTGGTACACTGTTGTTTTCAGGGACCATCCATATTCCACGAAAATTTGATCAGTATGCATCACCTTCAGCCGGAAGAGCTGCGTCTCATCGACGGATTACTGTATGGAGTAGCAGCCGGTATCTGGAATCGAACGCAGCCGTTGGTGGAAAACACCCTGGAGCCGCCACCACCTTCCTAGCACGGCAAGCACGGCGTCGCAGAGACTCCGAACCCCGAGCAGCCTTCAATCGTCCCGAATTCCATCACGTAGGAACGACAGAGATGGATGTACAGCAGGAAAGCGTTGAAAATTCCTGAATACTCCCCCTCCCCTGAGAAATTCTCCAAAACTCCCTTCAATTTCCTCCTTCCTTCTCTCCCACCTCACAACGCCTTTCCGCAACGCTTGCTTGACTGTGCTGTCTAGCTGTCGCTTTGAAGCTGTTCATGCTCCATCCACAATTCTTATCTCATTTTCGGCAGTTCTGTGCAATGTAGACATGCAGCAATTATGTTATAAAATTTATAATGTTTTATTTACTTTTTATTTAGATAGATATTCAATTGAATATGATAATAATAGTCTTTCTTACTTTTTCTGTGATGTTTTTCGAGGGTACAAATGAAATGGTACATATGAAGGAACGTGAAAATAAGAACGTTCACGATATCTGAATAAATTTATGACATTTACTGTGATTTCACTTGTATCAGCGGTCTCCCCATGTTCACAGTGTTCCTGATCGGGCGCCAGCAACACGGGTGTGTAGCAATAGAATCGTCTGGAGCCCGCGCTTGTGGTCGCGG